ACGGGTGTTTTTTTTATAGCATTTTTATGGCTGGTAAGTCTTTCAATATGAACTCATATATAATTGAGATTATTTATGTGTCAACTAAAATTATTTTCTAATCATAGACTGCTGCATTAGCTACCGTTTGCAATTCTATAGTAGTTATTGCTGCCCATGGCTCTCAAAATGCCTTGCCGGTGAATGTGACGTCAACGGCGGGTGACAACAATACTGTACCGAGAAACTCGACCATCTGCGTAGATTGCTTATGTAAGTACTATTTATTTATTTACATTGTTTTTTTTTCTCTATTTTGACATCAATGATATGAGAATTTTATTTTTTTAGACTATGATTATGGATACTTTTATTTGCATTTAATTATTTTTGTTATAATCTCTCTAATAACTGCTTTTGGTCTTACTGTTGTTTCCTGTGTGGTATGTATTATATAAGTGATAATTTTATATAGCATCTTTAATTATTGTGAAATTTACTACCTTTTTTATAATACATTAGAGAAGACCCAATCTTTTAAGAATTTATTATATACTATTTTTTGTTGTTATAATAGGACAAATTCTATTTTATATATTTTTGATCATTATTACTGCTGGATTTAAGCAAAAAATTATTGATTCTTGTAAGATAAATGCTAGCGAAAATGATTGCAATTCTGCATATAGATATGTGGCGATATCAAACCTTGTGGGTTATGGAATATCAGCCATTATCTCGGTATGTAAATATAATTCGTATTTAATCAGCCTTAAATAACAGATCATGCTAAATGATTAATAAATTTGTCTGTACTCTACAGATCCATTTTGCCTTAGTTAATCATGAATTTTATTTAATATATAAAGCTGAAGAGGATAATCTTAAAGTGGACGTTCCTAAAGAGGATCCTGAAGATAATAGTTCTTCAACTTCTAAACAAGAGAATAAGATTTAAATCTATTAGAACTTCCAAGTTTATAAATAAAAATTCAGATTTCATTTCTTCAACTTATAATTTAATATAGCAAAATCAATATTTAAAAAATTATACTTATTTCATTAAATTTGAAACCCCTACTATTACTGTTTTGTACATGTCATTTTATAAATGGTTATTACAAGTATTTGTCAAGATCAAAATCTAGAAATATTAATTGTAAGCATTTCCAAGTTTATTTTAGTGAGGTATATGTAATAGATATTTCACGGGCTGTTGTGAATATTATGGATTAGCATGGCGAAGTCGTGGAAATACATATGTCACAACACACCGTTGAATATCTGATATTTCACGGTTCCTATGCTCGTAATATTCAGATTAATAATTTTTAATGATTACGTAATGCCCGTGGAATAATCTTTGATATTTACACAGCATAATGTCATCATAAAAATAACATCAGAAATGTTCACGGGCAAACATATATATATAATTTACTATATTTACAATTAAAATCATTTGATCGTGGGTTTAGGAATTAAAAAAAATAGTGTATTAAAGAAATAAATTAAAATTTCTATTTTGTGTATTAATTTTGAAATCGGAAAACGAAATAAGGGGTTGAGAATTAAAGTGCGGGAATCCAACAACAGGAGGAAACGTTGATGTTACACGATTGATTTTACACACGGTGTGAAACAAATAAAAAATTATTTTACAATATTTGAACAATCTTGATCAGTCCGCTAGTAGATTTTATTATGATAATCCAACACCATTTTTATTATAATAAAAATGGTGTTGGATTATAATCATAAAATCTACTAGCGGACTGATCAAGTATTGTAAAATAATTTTTTTGGGCGTTTCACACCGTGTGTAATATCAATCGTGTGACCT